TTGAGAATAAGTGAGACGGACGAGGGTTCAAAAAGTCAACTTATCTAGATCAAATAGAGGTTGAATGGCTTCTGGACACACTAGATGATTTTTGCTGGAAGTGCAAGAGGGGTGTTTGGGCAAAACATTTGGTATGTAATAGATATGAGCTTTGGATTGCGTATGGTAAAAACTTCCGTGGGGAGTATCTGACGTTGACAATCCAGTAGAACAACAATGCGAAAATAATTTTTTTCCCAGTCGGAGAATAAGGTAAGGTTTGGTGGAAGTTGATGGTTGTTGTATTTGAACTTGCCAATAAACCTATTCGTGCTCCTGTTTCCAAATCGAGAGCAAATAGAAATTTGCAAAAGCCTACTAAGAGTGTAGCATCGATGGGGTCCTAGTGGAAAGCCGCTTTTGCATGCCCACATTGCTCAGAACCAATACACTTCTCAGGGAAAGCAGGAGGTGCAAAGTCGTATGCGGCAGCTCTAAAAACGAAGGAAGGAAAGGAGAAGCGGGTAGGGCAAACACACTTGGCGGGGTGGGTGACCCGCGTTCGACCCAACTCTGAATCTAGGAGGCCTAATGTTTTATTAGAGCATATGTTTAGAAGGGAGGGTGCCAGTGCTTTGGTGGGCCAAGCACAGAACTATAGAGCCGAGACTTTGGGCAGAAAACGTTATACATGGGCTGAAAAAGAAAAATGGATAGCAAAGCCTAGCCCAACTGAAGAATACCATAGAGGAAATTGTTTAAATCACACTGTGCAACCTGTTAGTTTCAACCGATCCGGGGGGAATCATCCAGTTTAAAGGGTTTGGAAATCATTTCGTCCGACAATTAAGAAACACAGAGAGTTCCAAGTTGTGGAAGCCCTAGAGGAGAAGATCTAATGGCCGAGACGCACGACTTTAAGGTGGGAGAGGAAGAGGAAAATGAAGTAATGGCCAAACAATCTTCTATTGTGGAATCGGAGGTGGAGGACAGTGATGGGGATGACATCAGTTTAGCAATAGTTTTACATGAAGATGAAGTTCAGGCCCAGGCGATAACATCCTTAGTCGACCTGACAATGGAAGAAATTTTAGCCCCGAGTGTGGAAGGTATTAACCTAGTCAATGGGTATCCGATGGACTGCAAAAGGCGGAGCTGGTCAGAATCGGGAGAGAAGGGAATGGTAGTCTGTTCACAGATGTGATGGAATGCAAGGAAGTGTCGTTGCCAATTAAGTATTTAGGGATGCCCTTGGGAGTCAAGTATAAAAATAAATCTACTTGCAAACCAGTGTTTGAATTATTTGGAAGGAAACTTACTGGTTGGAAGAGGAATTTTTTGTCCAAGAGAGGCAGGATCACTCTTATAAAAAGCACCATGGCCAACTTATCTACTCTTACAATTCCGGTTAATATTGCTAAAAAATTAGAAACCATTCAAAATAGATTTTTGTGGGGTAATGAAGAGGAGAACTGAAAATTCCATTTAGTTAAATGGGAGGAGGTTAAAAGGTATTCCAGATATGGAGGGTTGGGAATTAGGTCCTTGGTGGATTTAAATGTGGCTCTACAGGAGAAATGGTTGTGGAGATTCTGTATGGAGGATGAAAGATTATGGAGGAAGATAATTGCAATCAGGTGGGGTGACCTGAATTGGGATAACAAAGGGGGTGAGAGATCTGGGAAGCAGTATGGCAGAAGCTTGTGGAAAAAAATTCTGATGCAATAGCCTAGTTTCCATGACAATCTGTTGTGGAAAATTGGTAGAGGTAACAAAAAAAAATTTTGGAATGATGCCTGGATTGAGAATAAGCGCTTGAGGAGTAAATATTGAGAATTTATGCTATTGCGCAGACAAAAAACATGCTGGTCCAGGATGCTTACAGAATGAATAATGGCTGTGTGATTTGGTGGATAAATGTTTCAAGAAATCTGCAATAATGAGAAGTCTGAGTATGAAAGTTTACTGCAGCTGCTGGCTTCACAACAGATAAATCCTATGGACGATAGAGTTATTTGGAAATTGGAAAAAAGCAGTAGTTTTTCAGTGAAGTCCTATTATATTTAGATCACCAGTAAAAATCTTGAACGGATACATTATTTTCCTGTGAGGCAGATTTGGAAAACTAAAGTCCCACCAAGAATGCGAGTTTTTTGCTTGGGAAGCTTCCAGGGAATGTACACTGACTATTGACAAATTAAAAGTTAGAGGGTTTTGCATTCCAAATAGATGTTATTTATGCATGAAAGCAGAAGAATCGTGTAATCATGTGTTGTCGTGGCGTCCTGTGGCTTTTGAGTTGTGGAGTCTTATTTAAAATCTACTTGGTATAAATTGGACAGTGGCTGGATCTGTAAGGGAGGAATTGTGGGCTTAGGATGCTGTGCACTTTGATAGAATGCTGTCAAAAATGATTCCATTAACCATTTTTTGGGTTTTATGGAAGGAGAGAAATTCTATGGCTTTTGAGGGTAAATTGGGTGATTTGTATAGATTAAAAAATAGATAAACGCATTATTCTGTATTTATTTTATTAGGACATGACATAATTAGTGATGAGAATTTTGGTTGTCACTAACACACTAACTACATTGTAACACTTTTGTAATGGGTGGTATCCCCTATTTTCTTGGTACTCTATTAATATATATTCGTTACACTTTTTATTTCAAAAAAAATAATAATATGGATAGCCTACGAACTTTTGAAACTCTTAACATGCTTGGAAAGATAGTACAGGACTATATAGAATATGAACAAATTACTTAAGGATAATAACATCAATATTAGTTAAGTTAGTTCAGGATGCATCATCTAACACTATTGTTAGGTCCCGGAATCCTCATGTGCTTCAAAGGAAAAAATAATTGATTTGGAAGAATTGGGGATGGAACTATAGTTCAAGAGATTTTGGAATTTTCAATATTTTGCACTCATTGTTTGCTTATAATGACAGTAGAACCTTCCTTTTATAGTCTACACACCCCACTAATATAGACTAGACTATAGGAATGCTAATAAATTGCAACTAATTAATAATCATGAGAACAAATTATGATTCCTTATTTTCCAGTTCTTGACACACAAGTCCACCCAAAAGTGCTAGTTGATGATGCTCTAGCAATCACTAGCCACAAACATTTATCACTTTTTCCCCTAAGGTACTATCATGTGGGATGAGACATTATTTTCTCTCAAAAAAAATGTGGGATGAGACATTATATATCAACCTCAAATTTTATTCAACAAAGTGTCGAGATGCACTAACCAAAGAGCAGCTAGATCAGTTGAAGCATAGTTGTAACCGCCGTCACTTTTGACAACAATAAGAGGAATATTGATCCCTTCAATAAAGATAACACGAGCACCTTCACTTTCTTCTACTAATCCTTGATTACTTAATGTTTCTATTACTTTTGGAATATAAGGATTGTAGAAGCTTTCCCCCTGTTAGCAAGGAAAACACATAATTTTTTTTTGGAATAGTAGGAAAACGCATAATTAGAAATGGTGTTTCTTAAATATGATAACAGTATGAATTTTATACAAAATTCTGACTTCATATATACTTGATGCAAACTATTCAATGTTCTTCTATCTAAACATTCTTACATATGTCCCTTTTACAAAATATTAAAAAGGATCCCATAATCAAAACTGCTTATTCTATTGATAAATTGGAAGTAAGATAGACTGCAAGCATATAGAAAATTCAAATTTGCATAAAATACAAACAAAAGAAACATATTTGTTTCTTTTGCATACAAAAGAAAAACAAATACAATATTGAGAACTCACAAGCCACTGAATTGGGATCAACTACAAACAATCCTTTGGCTATGAGAACATTAATTTTGATTTACTACCCACCAGTTCCAAGCACTTGAAAATGAGAAGCCCCAAACAATAGTAAAACATCATGCAAAGCATCCTAAATAAAGCTATCTATAGAAAGTCCTGAATCACCTAGGTGAAATGAGACCCTAAAACTTTGTTTGGATAAATTTCAATGATGGTTAATTAATGTATAGTAAAGACAGTAATTGAATGATAATAACACAGGATTGTAATGGTAAAATTTTTTTACGTTTGGATGATGATTTATTAATATATGTTAATACCATATTTTTGTTTGAATGATTGAATGGTATGATTGTATTTTTAACTAAATTATTAATTTACCCTTACATATTATATGTAATAGTAAATGGTATAAAAAAAGTGTGTAAGGAAAAAAAATTATTTATTAATATAATTATATTCGTATTTAAATAAATAATTATTGTACATAATCAAATTAAAATTTTATATTTAATAAAATAAATAATAATTATTAATATTATCACATTAATTTAATAAATTTTTAATTTTCAGAACATATATGAAATTAATTAAATTAGATGGGGGTATAATGGGAAACAAATAGAATGCCCACTAAATACTACCAATTTGGTGGTTTAAAAATTTACTCCAAAATCTGTCAGTCAAATATCATTTGTTACCCTTGAAAGTTGAAACAAACATGGTTTTCTCACGCCCGTAAAATACCATACATTAAAATTCTACCATTTAACATGATCCAAATAGAGAGTAAAAATTCAGAATATAAATATTGATGCCTACAGAAAATAAAGAACCAGCAAGCTATGAGATTCACTCCGTAAAAGCTCACCTGGTTGCTATAACAAAACTAACTGAAATTAGTAAATCAACCCACTCTCATTCCATTAAAAAGAAGACCAACCATGAGACAAAAAGATCTTATAGGTGCCTATAGAAAGCTAAAATTAGTGACATAATGATTTAATGGAATGGAAAACTAATAATTTACCTTCTCTTCTAGCTGAACTCCAAGGCGTTTATAAACTTTATCAAACTCATTGCGGCTGATTTCACATATTTGTGCCCATGCTTTGCGGTACTTGGACTCCCCACCCTGCAAATGAGTTGGGTTAAATAAATAACCAATATTAAATTCATCCATGATGAAACTTAAATCATAAATCACTAGGATAATTAAAAAAAAAGGAGCAAAAGATGAATCATTTATACAAATCCCCAAAATAAGAAGGAAAACTGTTTACCTGAAGGCGAACCACAGCCTGTTGTGCCCTCTCCTTAAAAGCAGGATCTTCATCGAATCTCTTTTTTGATGCTTTATAAAATGCCTACCAGAGGCACCCCACAAATTAGAAATTTGACACGATCACTAGATTAACTAACTTCATAAGAAAATATTTTATATTGAAATCTAACACTTTTAGTGCCGGTAATGGTCTATACAAATTGGAATAGCAATAACTGTATGGTAATAATGGATCAGAGTTGCCCAGAGAGAATTTCCTGTTAAACTATTAACACCTAGACTTGAATTCACATTTTGTAGGGACATACATGGACCAAAAAGATATTATAAAGAGATTACTTAGATTTTGACAAAATATGATGTCATAAGCAAAAGGATTCTTTGCAACAAGATATGAAAACTCGTGCATGGTCTCAAATATGGCTTAACATCTGGTAGACTCTCAATTAAAACGATGACCTTTTTTTTTTGTTTTTAT